ATAATGCTTTTCTGCATGGAAAGTTGGACGAGGATGTATATATGCTGCCACCATTGGGATATGATAGGGCTCAGAATGGACAAGTTTGTAAACTAAAGAAATCATTGTATGGATTGAAGCAAGCTTCAAGACAATGGAATCTGGAATTCTCTGCCAAGTTACTTGCTTATGGTTTTCAACAATCATACTCTGATCCATGTCTTTTTACTTATATTACAGCTCACTGTCAGGTTTCCTTTCTTGTATATGTGGATGATGTTCAAATTATAGGAACACATGTCATAGAGATTGCAAAGGTTTTTCTTTTTTTTCAGAGATTGTAAAGGTTAAGATTTATCTTCATGATCTTTTCACAGTTAAAGATTTGGGATATGCCAAGTATTTTCTTGGGATGGAAATAGCAAGATCCTCCACTGGTATATATATTTATTAGAGTAAATATGTCATGGATCTTTTGGTCTCAACTGGAATGTTCAACTGTACGGCAACATCAACTCCTTTTCCAGCTGGGTTAGTATATGTTTCAAAAGATAAGGATCCAACACCACTATATCTTGATCCTATGCAATATAGAAGGTTGGTTGGTAGACTTTTATACTTGAATTATTCAAGACCTGATATAACCTATGCAGTTCATCAACTTAGTCAGCATGTACAGAAGCTACACATGTCTCATTGGAACACTGCTCATCATGTTCTAAGATATTTGTCAGGATTTATTGCTCAAGGGTTATTATATTCATCCAACTCTAATTTCAACATCAGAGTCTACAGTGACTCAGATTGGGGTTCATGCATGTCATCAAGACACTCTTTAACAGGTTATTGCATCTTTATTGGAGAAAGTTTAATCAGCTGGAAAACTAAGAAACAGAACACTATATCTTGTTCCTCAGCAGAAGCTGAGTATAGAGCTATGGCTATGGTAACCACGGAGCTTCAATGGATTCTATATGTTTTGAGAGATTTCACCATCTCTCCTTCACTGTCTGTTCCTTTCTATTGTGACAACAAGGCAGCCTTGGATATCACTACAAACCCCATCTTTCATGAAAGAACAAAGCATATTGAAATAGACTGCCATGTCGTTCGTGATTAATATAAGTCAGGATTGAAATAGACTGCCTTCAGTTAGCAGATTTCTTCACTAAATCGTTATCAGAAGTTGTTTTCTCCTTATTGTCCAAGATGAGTCTGCGGGGTGCTCATCTTGAGGAGGGGGTGAAGAATCATCAAAGTCAACTCAGGAGAAGACTTCAACTGCAAGTATCGAACCTGCATCGCCTGATGGAGTACAGGAGAACACCAGCAATCAAATGCAGGTGATCGTGCCTGGATGAGCTGTCAAATTCTATCTGTTAAAAGGCAACTAGGAAGTTTCCTTTAGGTCCTGAATGTGTAAATAAGATAGATTATCAATCAAGCTTTTATTTATTAAAGGCAACAATCATTCTGTTTTTTTGAATGGAAGAACATATCAGAGTTTTGTTTTCTTCTTTATTGCTGGAATACTATCTTCCTTTATAAATCCCTAGATCATCAATCTATCGTTTAAGTTGTTGTTTTATGAATAACACCGAAACCAATACAACCCCCCAATGATGAAGGACAATTTCGGGACTGCTACTTAACGACCTATGCGAATTCCCTTACATATTTGCGATTGGCCCACGTATTTACGTAACCTACTACCACAACAAACCCAATGTCAAGAACCAACTTAATAAGGAAGCAAAATCAGGATTATTATCTTGATTTGGGGGAGATTTGTGACAGAAAATAGAAGCTAGGGCAGAGCGAGAGAAGTAGAATGGGAGAGAAGAAGAGAGGGGCAAGGAGAGAATTTCTTAATAGAAATTTAGTTATGGAATCATCGATAACCTTCACAATCTATTAAACCCGTATTTATAGAAAATCTACTCAAAATAAATTTATAAAAATCAAGGAAATCCATTGCATGAAAACATTAAATGCGTCCATGAAGGAACGGCGATATTTCTCCACTACCTTTACCAAATTCGAATTGTGCCACCTCTTTTGAATTCATCGCGCCTGACATTCCCTCTCCCTTAAATTTCACTTTGTCTCAAGTTGTGAAGTTGGGGAACTGCCCTTTGATGAAGGAACTATCCTTCAAAGATGCATCTTCAACTTCCAAACCTTGCTATTTGATTAGCCATTGCACGGCTTCCAGTGATCCTCTCAACACAAAAATGTCTTTGCAGGATTCAATCAGGCCTTAATGCACACTCTTTAGCATCTTCCACGTCAGGCAAGTCTGAAATTTGAGAAGGAATGGCTCTAATATACTTCTTCAACAATGACACATAGAAGACCGGATGCACCGTTGATCGTTCTGGTAGTTCCAACTTGTACACGACATTTCCCATTTGCTCAAGAACCCTGTAAGGACCAAAATACCAAAAAATCAGCTTCAAGGAACTTCCGGCCACCATTGTCTGTTGTCTATAAGGTTGGAGCTTCAAATACACAAAATCCCCAACTTGGATTCCCTCTCAATTTTAAGCTTGTCTGCAATGAACTTAATCATGTCCTATGCCTTAGACAAACTGTCCTTCAGCTTCTCAACCACCACCTGCCTTTGTGTAACCATATCTGGTGCTGCTAAAATGGCCTTTTCATGATATGAGCCTAAAGGAATTCTAGTGGGTTGGAAACCATACAATGCCTAATATGGCGACGTTTGTGCACTGGTATGAAAGGACGTATTATACCACCATTCAGCCATCATCAACTGCTTAGACCAAGAGTTGGGAGTGGAACAAGAAAAATATCTCAATTAGCTTTTCCAGAAACTGATTTAACCATTCAGATTAGCCATCAGTCTATGGATGGTAAGCAGTGTTGAAACATAAGTTTACTCCCAGTTCTTGAAATAAAACCTTCCAAAACTTGCTGGTGGAAATTTTATCCTGTTCAGTCACAATTGAATCAGGGAGGCCATGTAACCTAAACACCTCTTTAAGAAAACTTCAGAGACTTCCTTAGCAGTGAAAGGGTGTTTCAATGGAATGAAATTGCCATATTTAGTAAGCCTATCCACCAACACCAACATACAGTTGAAACCGTCAGTTGAAATAGACAAGTCTTCGATAAAGTCCATAACAATCCTTTCCATGCTTGTTGAGGGATAGGTAGAGGCTGTAGTAGACCAGGGTAATGCACATGCTCACTTTTACAAGCTTGGCAAATCGGACATGCCTTAACATACTCTTCCACCTCTTTTAAGGTCTTTCCACCCAAATAAGGTTCTGATCCTCTGATAAGTGGCTCTTCGGCGTGAGTGTCCCCCTAAGGACGATGAGGGAAGACTGATAACAGCATTTTTCTAAAACCACCTTGATCACCCACATATAATCGCCCATTTTATTTCAACAACCCACCAACATATTGCAGCTCAGGATGATTATACTGATCCAAAGTAGCACTCAGAATCATTTGTTGTGCCATAGGGTCATTGACATAACTCTCAGCCAACTGTTGAAGCCATACTGGTTGCACTGTTGTAATTTCATCAACTGGTTCTTCCTTTTGAAACCCTCTTTGTCTTTCTTATCCTTATCTCATAGTCAAAACCTAACATCTTAACCATCCATTTGTGTTGCAATGGAGTGCTCAAATTTTGCTCCAACAGATACTTCAAAGATTGGTGATCCGTCTTGATAACAAAATGATGACCCTGTAAGTAGTAATCCCATTTGCTAATAGTCATCACTAAAGCCAACAATTCTTTTTCATAGGTTGATAGTGCTTTATTCTTCTCACAAAAGCCTTGCTCATGAATGCAATAGGATGATTTTGTTGCATCAATAAAGCTCTCATTCCTTCACTATAAGCATCTGTCTCTACCACAAACTCCTGGCTGAAGTTAGTGTCAATATTGGAGCCGTAGTTAAAGCTGATTTCAACTCCTGAAAAGCCTTGGTGGCTTTTTCACCCCACTAGAAGGCACCTTTCTTAAGCAAGTTGGTGAGGGGTTTACTAATTATTCCAAAACCTTTGACAAACCTCCTGTAATAACCAGCCAATCCCAAAAACCCTCTCAATTGCTTAACTGATCTTGGAGTTGGCCACTCAATTATACTTTGAATTTTTCCAAGATCCATATGCACTCCCTCCTTGGAAATTACATGACCAAGATATTCCATTGTAGGCTTAGCAAAAGAGCACTTGGTTTTTCTTAGCATACAACTGATGATCCACCAAGACTTACAACACCAAGTCAGATGGTAAATATGTTCCTCTAGTGTGACACTAAACACCAATATGTCATCAAAAAATACCAACACAAATTTTTTGAAATAGGGCTTAAAGATCTAGTTCATCAGACTTTGGAAAGTGGCTAGTAGATTGGCCAATCCAAAAGGCATGACCAAAAACTCGAAATGGCCATGGTGAGTTTGAAAAGCAGTCTTGGGTATATCATCTCTACAAACGCTTATCAAGTGGTATCCTGACCTCAAATAAATCTTAGAAAACCATTTTGCTCCTTGTAATTTATCTAACAACTCCTCAATAACTAGAATTGGATATCTATTCTTCACTGTCAATGCATTCAAGTGCTTCCTATAATCAGTGCACATCCTCCATGTCCCTTCCTTCTTCTTAACTAACAACACAGGAGATTTATAGGGATTGTTGCTTTCCCTTTCTGTCCCTTTCTTCAATAATTCATCCACTTGAGCCTCAATTTCATTCTTATGAGCATGGGGATATTGATATGGTTTGATCTTAAATGGCATTGCATCAGCTTTAAGAGTGATGTGATGATCAACTTATCTCTCATGAGGTGAAGAAGTAGGTTCCTCAAAAACTTTTTGAAATCTTGCCAACGCAGCCAATATTTTTGCTGGTATATTGCCTTTTATTTCCTCCTCCATGCAACTCTTTTCCCCTTCATTGACCATATTCAGCTGGTTTTGTTCACTTTCACACCACCTGATGAGAATCATGTAGCTTCACATCGAAGTCAACATCAAATGAAGGAGCAAAAGGTGTTCTTGTCAGTTGGTGGTCCAAGATTGTTTCCGTTTAAGAATAGAAGAAAGTTTGCTGTGAGAACTTGGCCTTCTTTGAAGGAGTATTCACCAACGCCTTCCAATGGGAACAATGAGGTTAAAGAAGAATCGCTTAATCATGAACAAGTGTCTGAGGAGTCAAGTGGTGATTTCCCTAGCAAGTGGAGTGATTCAAGTGATGAAGATTCAAGTGATGTCCAAGAGATTGATGCAAGTGAGTTTGTTCCAAAGAGCAAGTATCTTGAAGAGATTGAAGATGCACATTTAAGTGTGTAGAAGACATAATGGGAGCTTGGAGTTTTGAATGGAGCCGCGCGCGCCAATCAAAAGGAGGGAAACGCGTGGGAAGCATTTAATTTAGGTTATTTAAATTATTATTGAGTCCGTAAATAGATAATAAGTCTATTTACCTAGAGTTAAAATAAAAAGTTTACCATAAAGGTAAATTCATTAGGGCGCCCGAGAGGGAGTCCTAGGGTTTCATTAAATTAGGGTTTAAAGGTTAATGTATAGCTGGCCCTAGAGAGTATTTCATTAAGGATAGATTAGTCTTTTACCATTAAAAGAAGTAAAGTTAATTACTTTGCTTGATGGTTAAGTTTAGTTAGAGTTTGAGTCAAAATTGACTACGTCTTTTCTTTCTGTGAATTGGATCGAGTAGTACAAGGAAAGTAGAATTTTTTTGGCCTAAAGTAAAGGCTAAATAGCAGGGATTTTGTCTTGGAGAGCAAGGGAGCTCGCCTATATAAGGTGGCCGAATCCTCTCACAATAGTGTGTCGAATAATATGAGTTATTGAATCAAACAAATTGATTTTGAACCCTTTGTGGTTTTTCTTAAACAATGAGCTTTTCTTGTTGTTTTGAAGGAGAAGAATGGTTAGTTCTTTCTTTCTTTCTTAGAGCCTAACGTGTGACTTGGTTCTTTGAGTTAATCGTTTTATCATGTTGAGCATATTGCATGATTTAATTGTTTTAAAACTAATGTTCTTATCATTTTTTGATACGAAGGTCGATAGGTTGAGCATGTCTGATTGCTTGGTTTGTTCGAATTCTTTGTGTCCTAGGATTGTAGGATACCTTGTTGGTTTATCTATTTTATAGATGAGTTTGCATGGAAATAGCATGATGAATAATGTGTTTTATTTTTGCTTATTACCTTGGTTATGAATGTATATGGTCCAATATAGAGATATATTCGATGGTTTGTTTGTAGTTGAGTGGGTGATTTACTCTTTACATGTGTCGTCAATTATATGGCTGACTGTTTGATTTTATTAAAGGGTTTCATCTTTTTAAGATTAAGTTGTTCAATCCGAATGGTTATTTGAATTTTGTGTAATCTTTTGCTTAAGTTCATAAGGTATAGGAATTCTTTTTAACGGTCTAGTTTATTTGTGAAAATTCTGCACTCTTTTAGAGTTTCACTTTTAAACATATTCTTAAGATCTTTCTTGTTGATGGTTCCATTAATGAAATTTGGTTCGTCTAGAAATTGCCATCACCACCTCTTTACCTTTTGTCAATCACATCAAACTGAAAATCTTCCCTAGATCTTTTAGGATTAGCTTGCCTGATTATCTCTGCAATCTCATCTTCAGCTGCTAATGAATGTCCTTGTAGTAAAAATGTTTGACTCCCCCTTGGATAGTTCAATGTGGAAGTTATCATAATCAAACAATACAGGGCTAAAATGAGACATCCAGTCAGCTCCCAAGATAATATCCCAATTTCCAAGATTCATGAACCTAAAATCAAGCTGGAAATGGTGTTTTTGGACGATTCATTTAGCAGCTGGACAAATGACATTGTTTCATGATCTTGTGCCCATCAACTACTTTCACATAATATGGCTTAACCACCTTTCTACTCAATCCCAACTTAAGAGCCAACTGATCATTGATAAATAGCTTCTTGCAGCTCCTCTATCCACCAAAATCCTCACCATTTCACCATTGACATATCCAATAATGATAATCAACTTCCGAGGCTCACCCTCTTCCTTGCTCTCTAATGCCAAGCAATCCTACAAACAATCAATTGCACTCACTTCCAATACCTTCCCAATTCCTTCTAACTGATCATCACTAAGCCACTTCACATTTTCTAAATCCACATCATCATCCTATAATCATATTTAAATGTTCCAACTTACACACATGACCAGGACCCCAAGATTTATTACATTTCCAGCAGAGATTATTAGCCTTCCCGAATTGCTTCTCTCGTAGAGATAACCTTTTAAACATCTCATTACCTAATTTAGGAGTCCCATGCACTGCCACTTTATCCCCAGTTATAACTCCTGTTAGAGGTTGAAACAACAATTCTAGGTTTTAGAGTCAATGCCAAAGTTTGCTCCTGAGTTTTGGCTTCTTGGAATGCTCTCAACACTGCCTGTGATTCCATAAACCTCACAAAAGGTTTAAATTCATCCTTCAGTCCACTCATAAAACTGGACACAAAATAGGCTTCACTTAAGTAAGGATTGACACACAGCAGCTGAGACTTCCGTTCTTCAAACTTGTCATAATACTCAGTTAGTGTCCCCTTTTGAAAGAGCTTATTAAACTCCTCAATTGGATCTATACTGTCCAAATCCTAAAATCTGTTTAACAGCCTACTTCAAACAAGGACCAGGATGCTTGGGGATTGCATCTCCTAAAACTTAGAAACCAAACATCTACTTTTCCATCCAAATAAAACTCTGCTGAATCTAAGGGTATGTTTGTTTCATTTTTTAATGTGTGTTTTTAGGTGTTTTTTTGTATTGGGAATGTAAAAAGGTGTATTGGAAATGTAAAAAGGTATGTTGGAATGGGACTGTTATTATTTTATTAATCTAAAAAAAAAAACATCAAAACAACTAAACAAACAAAGCCTAACTTTTCCTCATCGGACATCTAGAACATTTTAAAATATTTTTGACATTTCCTTATCCAGCTTCTTGCATCTTCCCCTTCAAAAATCACTAACTCAATTTTCGGCTTACGTTTCCAATTTTTCTTAGTACACCTAACAACAACTTTAGTTTTTTGAGTGATTATTTCCATTGAGACCTAAGATTTCCTCTAAATTATATTGTTTAACACCGGAAATCAAAGTAACAGAAGGTGAAAAGAGGTTCTTACCCATACAGCTCAAAGATCCTCTAAAAGCATTATGTTCCAAATCGGTTCCGCAAATCTTGCATCAATTGCCTCGAAATTGTCCTTGAATACCTCCATCATCCTCACCGGCAACTCAATCATCCTGTACCTTTGCATAATTCGCCTCCGTCTTAACTGCAATTTCCTCGGTACGAGCTACGATCTTCACCATTTGTTCCATGATCTTCATTTTAAAGCTTGTGAAGTGATCAACACCTTCATTTGCTTGAGCTGCTGCACGATTGGGCGCTATTTTAGCTCACAGATCCAAGACTCTTGAAGCTTTGAATGCTAGTTGTCAGGAACCGATATAATAAGGAAGCAATATCAGGATTATTATTCAGATTTGGGGGTGGGGGGGATTTGCGACAAAAAATAGAAGCTAGGGCAAAACAAGAGAAGTAGAATGGGAGAGAAGAAGAGAGGGGAAAGGGTAGAATTTCTTAACAAAAATTTAGTTCTAGAATCATCGATAACATTCACAATCTATTACACCTGTATTTATAGAAAATCTACTCAAAATGAATTTATAAAAATCAACCAAATTCGTTGCATTAAAACATTAAATGCACCCATGCAAGAACGTCGTCGTTTCTCCACTGCCTTTACCAAATTTTAGTTGAGCTGCCTCTTTTGAATTTGACGTGCCTGACACCCAACTACACCCCCCCCCAGACTAGAGATGTTCACGGTTTGGTTCAAATCGGTAAAACCACCCAAATCGGTCGACGGTTCGGATTGCCGGCCGGTTTACAGTTGAATTTTCAATCCGGCGGATTGAAAAATTATAAATCGTTAATTCCGATCTGGATTACAGTTTGACACTAAGAAACCGTCTGTCAAACCAGACTGGATCATATATATATATATATATATATATTAAATAATAATAGTAGTAGTTTTCTTATACATATTGATAAGTGACATATCCTAGCACAAATGATAAGTGGCAGTATTGCTAATCCTATTTCTCTTAGACTTCTCCAAATCATTGGGTTGTGAGTTCGAAACTCTTTACACCCATTTTGTGACCCTTTTTTTTCTGCCTAACTCTAATATAAATAATTTTTTTTTATCAATTTTTAATTTCTATCTTATCCCATACTTAAATCCCAAATTGGCAAACGTGAAACACCAAACGACAAACGGGGTTTATTAGATACCTATGAATTATGATACTAGAAGTTACATGCATAGGAAGAATTGTGAAAAATTGAGATTTGATTAACTATTTTGAGGGGTTCATTTAAGATGTTTTGTGGTTTTTTGTGTATATTTTTTTTTGCTCTAGTCTTATTGGAGTATTAAGGTTTGTTTTTCTTTTCACGTTGGGCAATTGACTTGGTTGATCTTTTAGAATATTTATGTAAAACAAGGTATTTTCGTTGGTTGCATTCTGAAAAATCAGATTTACTGAACTGATCCTCTGCTGAGAGTTCTTTTTCTCTTAGCTCACTAATGCTTTTCAAGGTTTTTTTTAATCAAAATCATCTTCCTTCAGTGTAGTTTATGGCTCTTTTTACGGATTTCAAAACGGACTTGTAGATTTTCCAAAAACATGATTTGAAAACGATGTGTCCGAACTGAAAATCCTCTATAGAATATTTCAGGTTGTCACCTGAATGCTGAAAAGTTCTTCTCTATTTGAATATTTTCTTTCAGTCATCAAAAATGGAATCTCAACAAATGCTCCTATTGAGATGGATATTGAGGAGGGTGATGGATAGGAAGATGATGGTGAAGTGAAGGGAAGGTTGAGATTGGGGTTGAAGATGATAATTGTGGTAAGAGAAGAAAGATGCAGTCAATTGTTTGGGACCACTTCCAAAAAGGGATGCACGTGCTAAATGTAAGTACTACTCCAAAACTTATGCATATGATAGAAGTAAGAAAGGAACTAGCAGTATGAAGAATCATTTAGAAAATTTGTGAAAGTATAGTCCTCTCCGAGTTGTATCTTTTGAACCGAAATGGGAGGGTGGGAATTTAGTTCCAGTCCAGTTCACAAAGGAATTGGGTGAGAGGGCTCTTCCTATAATGATTGTCACCGATGAGCAGTCATTTAGGTTTGTTGAGAAAGAAGGATTCTTATACTTTATGATGTAGTACGATCAAATACCAAGTCGTAT